CCCCCCCCTTTTCCACCTTACTCCCACGTACTCCCCTGCCACTCCCCCACACTTAATTTACCTGAAAAAAACAGGCGCCATAATACGTATTCAGGCAAGCGAAACGAAAAGCTAATTGTTAATGATTTCTGTATAGAAACAAGCAAAATACCCATTCGACGAAAGGAGAAATAGCGTACAGCCATGTGGTTTACCTTGTGCTTCTTATGCGATGAGTTGATGTAAAAACATCCGGGTCACTGGCCTGTAAAACGTGGATTTCATAGCGAATCAAACGACGTGGGTCAATCAAAAACACGTCTTCCGGGTCCCATTAAGGCAGAAATGCAGTTTTCGACGGCAATGTGATAATTATTTCAGAAATTTAGGCCCCACCTTTTATTATAGTACGAAGATGATGATGATGATGATGATGATGATGATGATGATGATGATGATGATGATGGTGATGATGGTGATGATGATGATGATGATGATATCAGCCGTCAATATCTATGGGGGCTGGTTTAGCCCGTAATGAAAACTGAATGCTGGAGTACTGGATGGGTATTTAAAACAAGATTTCGAGGGGAGGGAGGGGGGGTAGGGGTGGCGACTGTATAAGTCACGTAACTGGGCACTACCTTCTTTAGCAGGTGGTTAGAGGGCGCCACTGATAGTTCCTATTTCTTTACACCCCCCCCCCCTGTTTTTTTCTGTCTGTCTGTCTTACTTTTTCCCAGCACTAAATGACCATTATTGTGTCAAGGTACTTCTTGTCTTTTTTTTTTTTGGTAAGTGTTTTACGGCGCTCGCAACAGCTTAAGGTCATATGAGCGCGAGGGACACAATAACCTTCTTCAGTTGGTCGAAAATTTTGGATTTTGCTCGGGTGGCGGCTGAAATCTACTCTCATCGATTTTAGACCATCAAGGGATCTTTAACGTGCACAATTTTCACACGGGCCCTCCGATATTTTTTGCCCTTCGTCGAGAAGGCTTGGTGTAGATCTTTCCTACCAGAAGATCAGGGATGTGACCGAAAGACAGCAGTAAGAAGGAGCCAAGGAGTAGCACGCAATAGAAAGGCTGCTTGAAGAGACAGGAGCCAAGAGATGGGGTCAAAGGAGATGAGGACGTTGGGACAGAAATAGGAGACGAAAAAGACTACAGAACATTGCTAGAGAGCAGGAACTAAGGTGAAAAGAGACAATTTTAGAGAACATCATTTTTGGGAAGCTATCTGGATTCGAACCCGGGCGGGACCTTTGAGTGAGAGGCCAACAACTTAACCTCTAGGCCTCGAGAGTCCCCTCTTCCCAGCACTAAATGATCATTATTGTGTCGAGTTACTTCTCTTTACTCAAACAAAAGAAATCTTTGCACTTTGTTCAGAACCGGGCTCTCTGTGGGGGAAAACAGTGTTGGGGTTGGTTCGTGGGTGTTCTGGTTTGGTTTGCTCCTTTTTTCCTATCAAACATTTATCGTCTTGCCTCCTTCGTTTGTTTGTTTTTTGGGGTGGGGTGGGTTAAAACTCTTTTGTATCACTTCTAATTTTTTGCACTTTTGTGACCTGCTGGTGATGCAAGTGCTGTAAAACACTTACTAAAACTAAAACTTTTTATGATATCGGCATATCGGACCTAATTAATTGTGTTGCAAGTGTCGTAAAACACTTCTTCTTCTTCTATCCCGTGGTTGGGGCAACTGTGATAATATTACTACAAAAAATGGCGGATATTGGATTCAAAGTATATCTCCCATATCAGACACTAGATCTTGTTAGGTGAGCATAATATATACGAGAACAGAAAACAGCTCGCATTGCCTGTTAATGTGTACAAAGACATTGGGGGAGGGCATTTACAATTTACTTTTATAAATTAAGAAACTGACTGACTGACTGATTGACTGATTGACTGACTGACTGACTGACTGACTGACTGACTGACTGACTGACTGACTGACTGACTGACTGACTGACTGACTGACTGACTGACTGACTTACTGACTTGTTGGCTGGCTGGCTGTTTGGCTGGCTGAATGAATGACTGAATGAATGAATGAATTGGTACATAAATACATAAATACATAACTTATTAAATAAATTGATACACGTGCGGAAATTTGGGTTATAATAGCAAACATACATTCATAGTCAAACATAAATGTATACAGAATACCAAATACACACACTGCATTATAACACCTAAGCATAACATTGTTCCAGATATGCCAAAGCTGGCCGCTTCTCTGCAGCTGACTGATTTATGTATTTATGTATTTATCAATATTTATTCTTTCTTTCTTTCTTTCGTTCTTTCTAACCTTCGTTCGTTCGTTCTTTCGTTCGTTCTTTCTTTCTTTCTTTCTTTTCTTTATTATCTTTGAGCGGAGATATTTGCGAGGAAGCGTGGTGGAATCAGGCTCTCGTCAAAATAATCAAAGTGAAGAAACTTGCATTTTTCCGGAGGTTTGTGAATTTTTATCATATTTTTGTTTTTCGGCACAACACCTTTCATGTCCATTAAAGAACTCATTTCTGTGTGGATTTTTCTGAAAAGCTTTGATTAAAAGCATTTAAAAAATGTAAATCTTCAGTTACCACGGACTCTTAAGCTAAGGAAATGACTAGTCTTTGGCGACCATTTTCTCAATAATTTTTCCTCTGAAAAAAGGTGACCCCCACCTCCTTCTTTTGCAAATATCTCGACTTGTATTCCAGATAAATGGATATTTTTTGCATCCAAATAAAGACAAGTGAACAAGCTTTAAGATGATACCAATAACTTTACATGCCCAAAAATTGACGAGAGCCTGATTCCACCACGCTGCCTCACATTTATTACGCCTTGCTCGAGGACACACCGATCTAAACCCTGTGGGTGGTTGGCGGGTGCTTTAATGTGGTTTGCTTCTTCTTTCCTATCAAACATCTATCGTCCTTATCTCCCCTCCTTCTGTTTTATGTCTGGCACTCTCTTGTAACACCTCTAATCTTCTGGCGCTCATAATATGACCTTATGCAGTTGCGAGTGCCGTAAAACCTCTAATAAAGCAAACAATTTAAACCCTGTGTCGCTGACACGTCCACCTTGACAGTGTTTTTTAGACTGAACCTACATCTATGGACTGAACTCACGACTTCTCCGGCCATCACAGTTCCCCTGTTATCAATGTTTCCCTGTAACCCACTTTTGACGAATTCCCTCTTGCTTGGATTTTTAAAAACCTGTTCAGCATAGTTTTGCTTAGTTTACGCTTCGCTTTTGGAGACATTAATTTCCAGATTTATTTTTTCTTGTTTTGTTGTTGTTGTTGTTGTTGTTGTTGTTGTTGTTGTTGTTGTTGTTGTTGTTTTTTTTGGGGGGGGTTCAGAACTCAGAGATCAAATTTAACCCCGACATGGCTGTTTCGTAATATGGAATCTCCAAGGGTTAAAAAAAAAAAAACTTATGGGCACATGCTTATATTATACGACTGTTTACTTGTGCACTCGTGCGTGTATACAAGAGAGATTTTTAAACCCCTCAAGGACGTGATGGACACATAATAATATCCAATCAGCAGCCGATTAAAGGCAATTTGCGACACGTTACGAAGTAACATTGTACACAAATCACAAATACATAATCTTTAAAAGGCTAATTCATATTTCAGACTAACCCCCTGCTGCTACTTGCTTTTTATAGTATCAGATTTAAAAAGTAAACCTGACTTTTTAAAAATAACGAAAAAACCCCCCACAACAAAACAAACTGCACGAATGACAAAATTACACTTCTTTCTTTTTTAAATGCCTGAAACTCTAATATTGCGTCTTCAAGCGTTATTGAATCGCCAGAACGCGAATCTTTAATGAGTTTTTGCTTTTTAATATTCTATGCTTTTTAATATTTTATGCTTTTGAGGCCTAAATAGGGGCTTACAATTTATGTGTGGTGGAGTTCTCCTTTCGTAAATAATATATTATGTTGACGTACATTTTGCTTGCTCCTTCAGTTTTCATGACGGGTGTGGTTGGCGGGTGCTGTTGTCTGGTTTGTTCCTTTTCCGTTTTTCTGTCATAGATCTATCGTCATTTTCTCTCCTTCTTTTCTTGTTTGTTACATGTACTCTCTTGTATCACCTGCAGGTGGTTGGCGGGTGCTCTGGTGTGGTTTGCTCTTTCTTTCCTATCAAACATCTGTCGTCCTTCTCCTCATTCTTTTGGTGCGTGTTACTCTCTTGTATCACTTATAATCTTCGGCAGTTATTTGACCTTTTTGTGTTGCAAGTGCCATAAAACAGTTTCTAACATTCAATCAAAGCTTTCATAATGTTATGTCTGCCTGCAGGACAGTGTGCGCTTTAGTATTTTTGAGGACAAAACCTTTATAGGTCCTACTTATTCTGTTCTTTTCACTCTGTTACATGGTTCGAGCCTCAGCTCGGTCCGAAGTTGTGTCCTTGGGAAAGGCACTTTACACGAACTTCCCACTTGGCTCGGTCCTATATCGGAGAAGGAATTTAAACTAGGAGGTCCCGCCCCTTAAATAACCTAATAGTGTTGATAGGGGCGTTAAACCTATACCAATTCACTCTGTTACATCTGTCAGTCTGTCATACTTCCACCCCTTCCTCTCCCCAGCAGTAACTCATGATGACCATTTTTGTGTTGATTTGCTCCTCTCTACTCGGACTAACGAACAAACAAACAAACATACATCACTATGATTTGTTCGTTTTGTTTTTGCATTACCTCCATACTAAATGACCACACCGGCGTCTGTGGTGTAGAAGTTAGACACTTGGTCAGCGCTGACTCAGCACACGTTGACTACATGCGTTCGATTCCCTTGTGGAAAGGCTTTATAAAAAGCGAGTATCTCTGCCTATTTGTTGGGACATTGTATCCCTCTCAAGCCTGGATCGGCCTTGTTAAAAACAAAATACAAACATACCGCCTCCTAAATTATCGAATTATTGATGTTGATGGGGATATAGAATATCTACAACTAACTAACTAACTAACTAACTAACTAACTAACTAACTAACTAACTAACTAACTAACTAACTAACTAACTAACTAACTAACTAGCTAACTAACTAACTAACTAAACGACCTCTATTATGTCAAAAGTGCTTCTCCGGATTTAAAAAAATCCTTTTTTTATTCTCTGCTGTTTACAACGACGACGACGACGACGATGATGATGATGATGATGATGATGATGATGATGATGATGATGATGATGATGATGATGATGATGATGATGATGATTGTTGGTAAAAATAGAAAAGAAGTATGTTTTCCTACCCATGAATTTGTATTTCTTTTTCCTCGTACAGTTATGAAGCAGTGGCCGCCCCCGATTGGCATCAGTACGGCACGTGGCCCGACTCGGTGTCTCACACAACTATCATGGCCAAAGCAAAGTCGCAGTATCTGCTCAAGTTGAGGAATTTGTATTACCAGCATCACAATCGAAAATTCTGGTTCATCGATCAGTTTCTGGCCTATAAGGTAAGACTTTGAGTACATAACACAAGGGCACACACGCTTACACACACACGCCCGCGCGAAAACGCACGCATACACACACAAAAAACGCGCGCACGTACACACACAAAAAACGCGCGCACGTACACACACACACACACACACACACACACACACACACACACACACACACACATACACAAAGCTAGCTAGCTCTGGTACAAGTTTTACGGCACTTGCAACAAAATAAGTTCATGATATAAATACCAAAGATTAGACGTGTTACGAAGGCGTAACAAACACACAAAGGAGGGGTGATGTAAGGGCGGATGATGTTTGATAGGGAAGAAGGAGCAAACCACACCTCACCACAACACGCGCCGACCACCCACACATCAGTTTGGAGTCTTCATTGGGGGCTCTCGTGGTCTAGAGGTTAAGGTGTTCTCCTCTCAGTCAATAAGTCACGTGTTCGAATCCAGATAGCGACGGAATAATTTCTTCTCTAAAATGTTCTACTTTTACATCCATTCCTGCTCTATAACAATCTTCTATCGTCTAATTTCGTCTCCACTATCTGCCCCCACCCCGTCACCTCCTTTGCCCCCTCCTGTGGGCTCCTGACTTTGTCTGCATCTTTTCTACTGCTACCCCTTGGCTCCTTCTTACTGCTGTCTTTCAGCCGCACCCATGATCTTAAGGTAGGTAATATCTTCACTTAACCTTCTCGAATGAGGGCGAAAAAGCTCGGAGATCCCGTGTGCAAGTTGCGCACGTTAAAGATTCCTTGGGGGTCCAAAATCGATAAGAGTAGGCTTCGGCCGCCACCCTCGCAAAATCCAAAATTTCTTACAAATTGAACATGTTGAAATGTGCCCCGCTCTCTCGTAATATGACCTTATGCAGTTGCGGTCGCGTAAAACACTTACTTAAAGTCTTCAGTGACGTGCTAAACCGCTAGTCTTTTTCGTATCTCTGCAGGAGGCAGCAACGACAACGATCTGTTTGTTATTGTTACGCCTGTAAGATAAAATGCCTAAGTCATTTGAGCCATTTTGAGAAAATCTATTATAAAACAACTGCATCTATCGAACAATTGATTTCGTGAAACATATGAATTTGGTACTCGGTCAATTGGTTTTATACTTAGCCTATTCTTTTGTCCAATCAGAGCCGAAAACTAAAAACTGGCCAAAATGTCTTAGGCAATTATCTTATGAGTGGGACGACTCTTTTGCTTGACGATATTTGTTTCACCGTTTAACTGTGTATTCTACTATCGGAACTTTTGAATGACAGGCGAACACCTTAGCCTCTAGGCCACGGAGCTCCCTTTCAAGGTTTTCGTGGACCCTTAGGTTAACTGGACAATCGGCTGATGTCTTTAGACGTCGCTTCCTTCTTGACCTGAGTGCCTGGTCACGTGATAAGACTACTGCAGTTAGGTGAATGACCGCCACAGAGTTCCATACCTCGCTCGGATTCCTTCCAGTAAATCTGCTTGTAGAATCATCGAAATACAACGGCAGAACCTTGGGAAACCTTTTGAAACTCAAGGGAGGGAGGGAGGGGGTGGTGAGAGATTCAAAAGGGTTAATAATTGTGTATGTAGGCCTATGTATATGCACCAACACTAATCAAAAGGGAGGAGATCGTAGGATAAAGCCTGTCCATGGTACAGAATCATCCAGTTTATGGGCGCGATATAATACCACACACATGCTTTCGCCATCTACGTGTCTTCTATTGGTCGAGGATTCTTTACAACCATTTCACATTTTGTTCAGGGCGACAAATGGCCCGAGCCCTTTGTCCGTACAGCGGTAACCCATTTAATACCACGACACTTTTTATAGAACATTAATTTTGTTACTGTAGGGTTACCAATACTTATGTATGGTATAAAATGGTACATTGCCTATCATGCTTGGCTGGCCCCAAACTTGTTTTCTAGTAGCAGTAGCCAGGAAGGAATGAGTGAATAAGTCTTTAGTACTAACGTTTGGTCTATTAATTTTGAAAAGAGACTTAAGTTTTCAGGGCGGAGATCTGAGTGTGGACACTTTTATGCCATCAAGCAAAAGCAGGGAGACAGCTTGAAAGAATTACTTTTGGTGTTTACAGATCGACACGGAGGGATAGATAGATAGATAGATAGATAGATAGATAGATAGATAGATAGATAGATAGATAGATAGATAGATAGATAGATAGATAGATAGATAGATAGATAGATAGATAGATAGATAGATAGATAGATAGATAGATAGAAATAGAGAGAGATAGAGAGAGAGGAGGGAAGAGAGAGGAGAGAGAGGGGGGAAAGAGAGAGGAGAGAGAGAGAGGGGGGGGAGGAGAGAGAGAGAGGGGGGGAGGAGAGAGAGAAAGAGAGAGGGAGAGAGAGAGAGAGAGAGAGGGAGAGAGAGAGAGAGAGAAAGAGAGAGAGAGAGAGAGAGAAAGAGAAGGGGGACGGACGAAAGTGAAAGCGCCAATACTTATGGGTTTAACCTTTCCCTTGGCTTCCAAGGTCTTGTCGCACTATAAGATGTGTGTATCACCTACAACCTAATTATGAAATTATATAAAACTCAGCTTGTAAAAATCTTCTTTTCCCCGTTTCGTTTTGTGCATATACAGGAGAATAATAGCTTCCACTCCGGATTTTTGGGGGTCTTGAAAGGAATTCCCAATTTGTTTTGATTGCTATTTCATTGAAAAAAATCCTTTTGAGTCTCTTCAAAAGTACTAAATACCACTTGAGATTTCTAAACGTGCGAATTCTCCTTTGAGGTGGTGTTTAGGTAGTAAATGCTACTGATCCAAGGCATTGTGGGCTGCTTAGTATACTTTCAGATAAGATCAAAAGAGTTATTTGCCAAAGTGTTTGCTCCCGACGGAATCTTTTGAAAAGTTGTCTTTTTATAGCGGATTTTTATGAACCCTACCCTCCTAGCTTTTTGAGTTCACAACAGGGTATATTTTTCAGAGATAAAGAGTTGAGATATGCTTTGGTTTCGGGGGGGGGGTGTCTCGATGGGATTATTCTATATACAATATAATGTATATTGCTCTTTTTTAACTGGTGGATCTATTAAAAAGTCATTTTGATGTGATGGGCGGTAACCTTCCCATGTTTTTAAACTCATTAAAGATAGAGCCATTCACCAATTGGTCGCTTTTAAGGACAAGCGGGATGACCCAGATTTCGGGGGTTTCCAGACATCTTGACCTACACCAAAAGTGGACATTGCCCTACCTATAAGAGAAGTTTGGTTTCATGGGTGTTAATATTTGTTTGGTTAAAGAGAAAACTCTCCTTGTCTTATAAAGAAACTGAACAAGGGGCAAAAACTTTACTTCCCATGTTCTCAAAATAGCAGTTGTGCTTAAAAGCGACCAATTCTACTTTGATCCATAATAAAAGGAAGAACTATATCTAAATATACTGGGAACGTAGACGGTTTTGTTTTGATTTTGTTTTCATTTGCTGCAGCTGAGACCTAACTCTTAAAATGTGCCAGCCCCGTATTCCCCTCCCTGTTTTAAAGTAAAACTCTCAGTGAAAAGACGCGGAGACCTGATCAAGTTAGTCCGTACAGACAGCAGAAGACTATTATATGAGTTCGTCAGGTGACAAATTGACGTTCTAAGACAGTTTTTGCTTTGCTACATCCCAATTCAGAGAAATAATATAGACTTTTTAAAATAGTTTTAAGAAGGGACAAAAGAAAATCTTTGATAATTTTTATTAAAATTTATTATGACTTATACTTATAAATCTGTTCCATCAGCCTGAGTTTGTTTATTTATTAGTTAAT